AACCTCTGAACATTTCATGTGACTTCACAGGGATTCTCCTTCCCCTCCCCCAGCCTTTTGCTCAACATGGAGCTGAAAAATACTGTTTGGCATCTGTGCCTTAGAGTTTCACAGTTTCCAGAATCTTAGATTTTTGTCTTCCTCCCTGCGATGTGGTGGGCTGGAGGAGGCTCACAGGGGGGTGAGGCTCATCCTCTCTGCTTGGGGGTTGTCTCAGTGATGCTTCTTGGAGCAGCGGCAACTGAGCCGTTGTGAAGGGTGAAACAAAACGGAAGGAGATGTGGCAGGACAAGGTGCTCTCCTCCTCCGCTGCTTCCTTTCCCCACGGAAACGTCACCTGGAATGTCCTCCTTGAACTGGCAGAGCTCACCCACCTGCCACATTGATGGCCACAAAGAGAAAGCAAAATCAATTCCTCTGTGACAAGAGCCACAGGACGCCACTGGTAGTTACTGCTCCTGAGATTCTTCCCTGTGATTTGATCACAAGCTTAGATCTGGTTCCAGCTAGAATCATGGAACGACAGAATTGGAAGGGACCCAAACGGTCATCTAGTCCAACCCCCAGCAATGCTGCTTTTCTCTGGCCACCCCACACATTATGCAGCAAGAAACCCAGGTCTCAGTTTGTATCCTTCCAAAGAACTGCAATGGGCATATTGAAATTTGCTGTATAATATTTCTGCATCTGCTTGGCTCATTCACACATTACATATTCGGGTGTACACTTCAGAAAGGCCTAAGTGCGCAGCTTAAAAACTGCAGCATCTGAAGATAATTTCTCCATGTGCTTGCATTGTTTTCCCTGCAGCAAGCAACCTTTGCAAATCAGGTCCTTTTGCTGGGATTTGAGGCGGAGACAGTGGTCTGGGATCTCATGGTCTGCGTGTGCATATGTGACTGATTTTCCTGGAGGAGTGCATTGGATCTCTGGTGACCTTGCAGATCAGGAGAATCTAGGTCCTTTATGGTTCCATGCAGCATGGGATTTAGACCAGGCGTGGTTGACCTTGGGCCATGCTAGCAGAGGCTGATGGGAGCCCATCCAGTTGTCACAGAATCATAGAATTTTAGATGGAAGGTGTTAGGATATTGAGTTTCCATTCCACCTTTAGAACAGGCATGTGGAGTTTTTGTATGTCACATGTCTGTTTACTTCCAGCAGAACCTGCTGGGAACTTCTGTTGTATATAGCTTTTGCCACTGCTGTTTGCTTGAACATGAAGGGAAGCAGACATGTTTTTCCTTTGTTCTAATGCTGAATAAATGCTTGTAAATATGCTTAGATATGCCTCTGTCCGCCACTTCTGTTGCAAAGAGTTCTTATCTCTGCTGACTTGCATGCTCAGTCTCTAAAGGTTTCTGAGGCTTGAGTCACAGTTTTTTGATGCTGTTCGGAGAACTGGAGTTCGCTCGGCTGCCGGGCTGGAGCCAGCTGGGGCCTGCCAGTTGCCTCTGTCTCCCAGGATGCATCCCAACAGAAGGGACCCCATTGCATCTAGTCCAACCCTTTGCAATGCAGGAATCTCAGCTAAAGCATCCCTGACAGATGGCCATCCAACCTCTGTTTAAATACCTCCAAGGAAGGAGAGTCCACCACCTCACAAGGGAGTCCTTTCAAAGGGCTCTTCCTATCAGAAAGTTCTTCCAAATGTTTAGTCAGAATCTCCTCTTCTTGTAGCTTGAATGGTTTTGTGTTCTACCCTCCGTAGCAGGAGAAAACAAGCTTGCTCCCTCTTCCACGTGACAGCCCTTTAGATATTTGAAGATAGCTTTCATATCACCTCTCAGTCTCTCTTCTGCAGAATAAACATATCCAGCTCCAGCAACTGTCTTAAGATGGCTTTCTTGTGCGCACATGAATTCTGCTCAGATCTGTACGCGAATGCTTGAAAAATACAGCGGCGGGCGGCAGAGGTGGGGATTAGGGCTGGCAGTTGTGATCCAGCTTTCCCCTTCCATGCATTCTTGGGACAGGGCCCGCTTCAACAAGAAGCTTCTGCTGCAGCAAATGTGTCAGCCTCCAGTGTGTCACAACATGGAGCAGCTGACATTAAGACAGAAAAAAATCCCACATGTTTAGGGCTTCCAGTGGGGAAGAAGCCACGCTGCTGGCTGCCCAGAGATAAATGACTTTCCCCTGGGATGAAACTGTCTCTTTCGTGTAGGCTACTATCCATTAAAGGCCTTGGAGGCGTTAATGAGGTTTCTTTTTCTCGGAGGCATAAGGCGCAGTTCCCACATGACCTTTCACAGCCACAGGATGGCAATCCTGAAAAGGACAAGTTGTTGATCGCAGGATAAACTGCAAACTCTGCTGTCGGCTACCCACTTGCCCGCCCTGTTCGGCTTAGGCTCAGGTTACCTTAAAGACTGTATCTCCCTTTATCAACTTGCCCAGGGGCTAAGATCCTCAGGTGAGAACCTCCTCTTGGTCCCATCCACATCCAAGGTATCCAAGGCAAGTTGATGGTGCAAGACGGAGGCTTTTCTGTGGCTGCTCCCATATTGCGGCATTCCTTCCCAAGGGAGGTCAGACTGGCTCCCTCTTTGTTATTCTTCCGCCACCTAGCTCAGACCCTCCAGTTCAAACAGACAACACTGACCACTGGGCTGCTGTCAGGGAAAACTGTGCAAGATATGCAGTCCAATCTAACAGTGAATGTTCTTGCTAGTTAGCATGTGAAGGGGTTAAGGTCATAGAGCTGTATTGCTGACAGGCAGACTCCGACCACAGAAGTGTAATTGGTAGAAAAGGCTCTGTGTGATGTCATTTCCCCATCTCTCCTGGGAGGGAAGACGCAAATAAGTATTTCCTGTTCCTGCTTGCTCTCTCTGTCTTCGACCAGCCATGGGAGCGGATGTCTGTCTGCTTGCACCAGGATCATGCTCATGCCTAAGGCTGTTTTTGCTGTAAATACAAGAATTTTACCTGCAGTTATTTTTACTGCTGTTGCTGCGAAGGATGAATGCCTGAATGCGAGTAAAGTAAAGTTACTTTTTAGTCTGTAGCCTGCTTCTCTGAAAAGTAGGGTGACCAAAGGGAGAAAGCAGCCTAATAGCTAATTCCTATGCTTTCAGTTAAACTGTTTAAGATGAGATTCAATCTCTGCTCAGCCCCACGCTTTTAAACACAAGCGATAAGCTGATCCTTTTGTCTGCTAGCGCACAGACGAGGGTCTGTGGAAGGATAGAATATAGGGAATATGGGGAATACCTCCTCAAACTACATTTTAATAAAGGTAAAGGTAAAGGGACCCCTAACCATTAGGTCCAGTCGTGGCCGACTCTGGGGTTGCGGCGCTCATCTCACTTTACTAGCCGAGGGAGCCGGTGTACAGCTTCTGGATCATGTGGCCAGCATGACTAAGCCGCTTCTGGCGAACCAGAGCAGTGCATGGAAACGCCGTTTACCTTCCCGCTGGAGCGGTACCTATTTATCTACTTGCACTTTGACGTGCTTTCGAACTGCTAGGTGTGCAGGAGCAGGGACCGAGCAGCAGGAGCTCACCCCATATTTTAACAGCTGGCTCTAAATGTGTTTTGACATATTTTAACTATTGTTTTGAATTATTATTTTTTTATTACCATATTTTTCGCACCATAGGACGCACCGGACAATAGGACGCACCTTATTTTAGAGGGGGGAGAACAAGAAAAAAAACTTCTCCCCCTCTCTGCCCAGTGCCCCTTCAGCGAAGCGGCAGGAGGCGCTGCACAGAGAGGGGGAGAATTTTCCCCCTCTTGTTTTCCCCCTCTAAAACAAGGTGCCATTTAAGGTGCGTTCAGTCGCCTTCAGGCGGCTACCTTGGAAGCCTGGAGAGCGAGAGGGGTCGGGGCGCCCCCACCCCTCTCACTCTCCAGGCTTCAGGTTCCTTTCGACCTTCTCTTTGGGGCTGGTGGGGGGAAGCCCATCACCAGCCCCAAAGAGCAGGTCGGGGAGCAGCGGAAAGGCGCGCAGCGGAGAGGCTGCTGCAATAGCCGCGCGTCACCTCTCCAGCCGGCAGAGGATCGCGGGGCTATGCCGTCTTCGCTCTATAGGACGCACACACATTTCCCCTTCATTTTTGAAGGGGAAAAAGTGCGTCCTATAGAGCGAAAAATACGGTACTTTGTTTTCTATAACAGTGTTTCTAAATGTTGCAAGTCGCTTTGAATCCCAGTTTGGGAGAAAGGCAGGATACAGAAGTACATTAAAACATCATCATCCTCCCCAGTCTCAGGGGAGCAATAAGTGGCCTACATCGCAGAACCTCACAATATATTTGCTTACTGGCCTAATCCTGCCCATGTTAACTTGGACTCAACGACTAAACAACAACAACAACAACAACAACAACAAGCCTCCCTGAGTTCAATGGGACTTAAAGAGCCGCATGAATTAAGATTGTGCCTGCAGCATTTGCAAACCCGAAGGGCAAAGGGAGAAATCCTGACTCCTGACTGGGCTCAAAAGGCAGGGCAGCCTTCAGCCTGACACACAAATCCCTGCCGCTCGCTTTGGCCAGAAGAGAAGGCGGAGATGCCCTTTTTCTGCTGAACCAGGAGGCAGCTCACAGCCACAGCTTCCCTGCAAGGCTGCCTCCCTCAGAGGAAACCAATCCCTTCAGATGCCCCTTGGCTGAAGGAAGGCAGGGGCAACACTCTGATTTATTTAAATACATGCAACTTTTGAAATTGCTTGTTGCATAGCATGAAATAAATCCGGTCAGGCTGACTTAGACCTAGCCAGGTGGAACTCCGAGTCTCCCTCTTGAGTACCCCTCTTAAGTGGAGGTTAATTGAGGGCGCGCAGCCTTCTCCTCCGCCCCAGAGCACCCCAACCTCATATGCAAAAGAGGGAGCAATGCTTCCTCTCCCGCTGCCTGGCCGGGGGTCTTTGCTGTCCCCCAGGGGCCTGGGAGGATTAGCCAGGCGGAAGGTTGGCTTCCGCTGACCCTCGCAGGCTCAAAGCGCCACCAACTGCCGGGCCATTCCGGGGCTCAGTCTCATTTTAATAAGCTGATTTGAGACCCGCCGAGGCCGCCGCCGCAAGAGCAGCTGCCGCAGCCCCTTCCCGCTGCCCTTGCCCTCCTCCCGCCGCCGCCATCCCGCCCGCCCGCCCCGGCTCTCTCCTCCTCCCCTCCCCCCGTCCCGCTCCCTCCGCCCGCCCCGGAGACCCGCGCACCACCCGCCCTCCCTCCTCCCGCTCCCCCCCGTCCCGTCCCCTTCCCCGCCCCAGCGAGGGAGCGAACGAACGCGTGAGCGGCCGGGCCTAGCCACCCCGCCAGGTTGATTTTCCTTCCAGCGACCAAAGATTTGACCACTTTCAAGCCTGACTTAACTGAATACAGCTCAAGATGGACACTGGTGTTATCGAAGGAGGTTTAAATGTCACACTTACTATTCGCCTACTTATGCATGGGAAGGAGGTTGGAAGCATCATTGGGAAGAAAGGAGAATCTGTAAAGAAGATGCGTGAAGAGAGTGGTGCTCGCATTAACATCTCAGAAGGGAACTGCCCAGAACGGATTATCACTCTTGCTGGACCCACTAATGCAATTTTCAAAGCATTTGCTATGATCATTGACAAACTGGAAGAGGACATCAGCAGCTCAATGACCAACAGCACGGCTTCTAGCAGGCCCCCCGTCACTCTGAGACTTGTGGTACCTGCCAGCCAATGTGGCTCTCTCATTGGAAAAGGAGGCTGCAAGATCAAGGAGATAAGAGAGAGCACGGGGGCACAGGTCCAGGTGGCTGGAGACATGTTGCCCAACTCAACTGAGAGAGCGATCACCATTGCCGGGATTCCACAGTCCATCATTGAGTGCGTCAAACAGATCTGTGTGGTCATGCTGGAGTCTCCCCCAAAGGGTGTCACCATCCCCTACCGACCCAAGCCATCCAGTTCTCCTGTCATCTTTGCAGGCGGTCAGGACAGGTACAGCAGCGGCAGTGCAAGCTACCCCCACACCGCCCCATCAATGTGCCTCAACTCTGACCTGGAGGGACCACCTCAAGAGCTGACCAAGCTGCACCAGTTGGCAATGCAACAGTCACACTTTCCAATGTCTCATGGCAACACTGGATTCAGTGCAGGTTTGGATGCATCAGCTCAAACTACTTCTCATGAACTCACCATTCCAAATGATCTGATTGGATGCATCATTGGGCGTCAGGGCGCCAAGATCAATGAGATTCGCCAGATGTCTGGGGCGCAGATCAAAATTGCCAATCCAGTGGAAGGATCTACTGACAGGCAGGTTACCATAACTGGATCTGCAGCCAGCATTAGCCTGGCTCAATATCTAATTAATGTCAGGCTTTCTTCGGAGACTGGTGGAATGGGAAGCAGCTAGGACAATGCAACCGCCTCACTCATTACCCGTTTCTGCTGTTCATCCCCATGATCCATCTGTGTAGTTTCTGAGCAGTCAGCAATTCCAGGTTTTAACTAGTTTGTAAATTTTCAGTTCTACATGCTTTACCCATCCACTCATGATTTTTTTTTTAATTGCAGCATTTTAATTCCTTTTCTCTGTTCAGCTGTTAAAATGCTGATTCATATTTTAGTTTATAAGCTTCTCCCCCTTTCTTGGCTCATGAAGTTTTTCTGTTATGTCATGAGATGTAAGAGTGGAATTAATACATTTCAGTTTAGTTCTGTAATGTCAGAAATTTTTCAAAAAAATAAAAAAAAAAAAAAAAAGAATAAGCTGATTTAAGACCTTAAGCCTCCAAAGAACCCAGATATTGTAACAGATGCAGCTATGAGAGTCGGATTTATTTCCTGCCTGTCCTCGCCCTCCTTGGCCTCCAGTCACTTTCTCTCTCTCTGATCACAGATGTTGCTGCCAGGCGGGGGGCGGGGGGGCGGAGAGAAGATGACCAAATGCAAAAGAGGGAGGAATTTTAATGCAAAAATTGAGCAGGCACAGCTTTCTTCTTCTGGGGAAAAAATCATAATCCTGCACACAAGTTTCTTTTGCTGACTGAAATGTCCTAAAGGTCCCAGGCATATTTTTACATTTGGCCATCTGATGGTTAAAAGTATTGGGGAGGGCCAGGTTCATTCCCCTGCTCAGCCAGGAACCTTGGACCTGTCGCTCTTGATCAGCCTGCCTACCTCACAAGGCTGTTGTAAAGATAAAAAGGGTTGGGGGATTTTTGTGGGGAGGGGGCAGGACTTGCTTCCAAGAAGTTGCAAAGGGAATGAGCTCTGCTGTTTACTTACTAGTGTGAGTGAAGAGGGATCATATCAAAACAATAAATCCTCTCCTACCTTCCTTATAATTCCCACACCTGTTCCTCCCTGGCAAGGCAACTGCGCTGGTGTTAAACTGTGGAACTCCCTGCCACAGGAGGCAGTCATGTCTGCCAACCTGGATGGCTTTAAAAGAGGATTTGACAAATTCATGGAGGAGGAGGGAGTTGGAGGGAGCAGTGTTTCTAAACACCAGTAGCTGGAAATTAAAGGAGGGGAGAGGGTTGCTCTTGTGCTCTAATCCTGCTTTCTGGTTCCAGCAGCCTCTTCTTATCTTCTTACGGGTTGTTGTTGTTGTTGTTTAGTCATTTAGTCGTGTCTGACTCTTCGTGACCCCCTGGACCAGAGCATGCTAGGCACTCCTGTCTTCCACTGCCTCCCTCATGCTGGTAGCTTTGAGAACACTGTCCCACCATCTCGTCCTCCGTTGTCCCCTTCTCCTTGTGCCCTCCATCTTTCCCAACATCAGGGTCTTTTCCAGGGAGTCTTATCTTCTCATGAGGTGGCCAAAGTCTTGGCGCCTCAGCTTCAGGATCTGTCCTTCCAGTGAGCACTCAGGGCACTGATTTCCTTCAGAATGGAGAGGTTTGATCTTCTTGCAGTCCATGGGACTCTCAAAGAGTCTCCTCCAGCACCAGAATTCAAAAGCATCCATTCTTCAGCGATCAGCCTTCTTTATGGTCCAGCTCTCACTTCCATACATCACTACTGGGAAAACCATAGCTTTAACTATACGGACCTTTGTTGGCAAGGTGATGTCCCTGCTTTTTCTTATGGGTTTAGAAGATCCCTATTCCCTCCTGCTCTCCTTCTGCCTCGGATTCACATCCCCACCTCTGAGCAGAGGGAAAGGGCCAGAGGGAGTTCCTCCCAGCCGTTGCTCCCTCTGCTAGTGAGGATTTGTGCCATGAGATGGGCGAGGCAACATTTCCAAGAGCAATCGGCCCCTCTGCGCCACCATGCACTCACACTCACACTTGTGTGCGCGCGTACACATAGATATGCAACATCGCTCCCCCTCTCTCTGCCTCTGCGTTCAGAAGGCCAGGCCCTGGGGTTAATTAATACCATGGCTTCCCAATTAAAGCCTGACAGAAAAAAGATGTTTGATTCAATCAAGCCTCTTTCTCTGCTCCTCCGCTGAATTTCTAATCTTTAGGAGCGGATTTTAATTGTGTTCTGAGCAATTTAGACCCGGTCTCGGGACCTCGGGGCAACGGCGGGATGCGGTGTGTTCTCCTTAAACTCGATAATTAAAGCCGCCTCCCTGGAGGGGAATTGTTTTTGCAGAGGATGCTGCCTGAAAAATACAGAGGGTGGCAGAGATGGGGGTGGGCACTGGGCGGAGGGGGTTGCAGAGGAGCCCTCCGCAGAGGGAGCTCTCAGGGGGGAAACCACCCTCTCCCTGACACCCCATTTAACTGGAGCTGGGGCTTGTCAACTCCAGATCCCAGCTCTGAATGCGAAGTAATTTACAGAGTGCCTCTGAGCTCGTGCAAAGTGCTTTCCACTCAATCCAGTCTTATTTTCTCCAAGGAACTCAAGGTGGAGAACATGCTTCTCTCCCCCTCCTCATTCAATCCCCACATCAACCCTGTATCAGGAAGTCTGTAATGTTTGTTGCTTTATTGTCTTTCTATATTTTCTGTAAGCTGCCCGGAGTGGCTGGGGAAACCCAGCCAGATGGGTGGGGTATAAATAAAATAATAATAATAATAATAATAATAATAATAATAATAATAATAATAATAGTAAACTTGAGCCAGTGATACCAGCTTTTCAAAGTCATTTACATCTCCAGCGTCCCCCTGCTACCCCCTCCTGGTAATCCCACCCCCGCCAAGGGGCAGGACCACCCTCTTTCAGAACCTCTGGCAATGGCTCTGAACACAGCCCTGGGTGGCAACAGCCTATAATAAGAGGCTCTGGAAAAGTTGCCTTGAACCTCTCCAGAAACCTCTGCCTGTTTGTGTCTCCCTCCAGACTCTCTTGCCTTCCATTTGTCCTCTGACTGAACGGACGGCGAGAGGCTCTTGCAAAAGCAGCGGGGAGACTGGGCTCTCATTAAGCCTCGCTCCCCACTCTGTATTTTCCAGTGTTCCCCTGCTAAAATGGATTAAAGGAAAGCAATAAGTCTGTGGGATTTCCAGGCATCCAGGGGACAGAGAGACATTAGAGGTATTAACTTTTCTGTCTAGCCTGATAATAATTCACTTTTCAGACCGGATCAGAAACTCAGGGAGGCTGCAAATTCACTTGCCGGTCTCCTGAGAAGCCCGGCAGGGTCCCATAAATGAGGAAAGGGGGGTGGGAGGCCTGTGATGGATTAATCTGCGGGGGGAGTCACTTTGACAACCCCGGCTTCTGTTAACATCGGGTCTCGGACCCCACAGGCTCCTTTCATGAATATCTTTAGGCAGCTGCGCTGAAGTTCAGAGATTTCTGGGGCATCCAAGTTGTTCCCAGGAAAAGCGCTGTGCTGTGCAGGCAACGGCCTCAGACACATCTGGCATTTGATCCGCACAACCAGTTTTATAGGGTGTTTGCTTTATGTGGTACAGATGCCGTGCACTCGATGCTTGTGCATAACAATCAGCCCTGGAAGGGCATCAACACATTCTGGGTGGCGCTGTGGGTTGAACCACAGAGCCTAGGACTTGCCGATCAGAAGGTCGGCGGTTCGAATCCCCGTGACGGGGTGAGCTCCCGTTGCTCGGTCCCTGCTCCTGCCAACCTAGCAGTTCGAAAGCACGTCAAAGTGCAAGTAGATAAATAGGTACCGCTCCGGTGGGAAGGTAAACGGCATTTCCGTGAGCTGCTCTGGTTCGCCAGAAGCGGCTTAGTCATGCTGGCCACCTGACCCGGAAGCTGTACACCGGCTCCCTCGGCCAGTAAAGCGAGATGAGCGCCGCAACCCCAGAGTCGGCCACGACTGGACCTAATGATCAGGGGTCCCTTTACCTTTACCTCCCGATTTGGCAAGCAAGGTTGTGGCAGCGAGGTGGGGGGCAGAGGAGGGCAGACCCCCCCCCCAAAGCATCTATACAGACAACTCCTGGTGGGCTTTCAAGCTGCATGCACCGTCTTCTTAATATATCTAGAGATACCTAAATATATCTAACTAAAAGCTCTCTTGCCTACCTGGAATTTAAATTACTCCGTCTGCCACCCGGAGGGGGTCTGGCAATCATATATATATATATATATATATATATATATATATATATATATATATATAAATTTGTACCTGAAATTTCAAAAAACAACAACAACATATTTTCTCATCTTATTCAGTGTTTTGGACTTCCATCAACCACATCTGAAGATTTTTCAATCTTCATCACTTAATCTGCATTTCATTAATTCCACTATTACTTTTTATAGTCCTTCACTGATAGTTTACTTCATACTTTTCTCTGCAATATTTCACATAGTCCTCCTTAGAAAACTTCTTGCAATCCTACTAGCGTAATCTGTTGATTACAATTGCTTTTCAAATAGTTCACATATTTACTCCAGTCCTCTGGGAATCTCTGATCCCGCAGGTTTCGAATCCTTCCTGTTAATTTATCTAATTCTGCATAGTCCATTAATTTTGGGAGTCGGGCAATCCTATTTCATATTTGAGTGGGGAGTGAATTGGGGGGGGGGGCAACTGTCAATATTCACCTTGACTTGGGAGTAAGGAGGTTCCATGTCCTGTCTCGCTGTGGCAGAAGATGGAAGACAGCCAAGACACCACGATTCTGCCCCCCCCCCCAGTCTCCAACAGTCACACAATTCTTGTAAGTGTAATGATGAGGAATCCCTTGCTAGGGGCTCCAGTGACTAATCTCAATTAGGTTTCCTCCGCCCGTTCCGGAAAGGTTCCAGCGATGCAGAAGGAACTGAAGTGGAACCGACGTTGCTCCAGGAACAGAGATGCCAGATTATCTATGATTAATCCCGATCTCCCCTTTTTAGTATTCTGCTTCTGGCTTGTCGCGTTATCCCTCAGACGGATGTGCGGAAGGAGGCGGAGGGGGAATCCTAGTGCACGAGGTGGGGGTTGGGTGGGGTTGGCGCAGGGAACTCCGCACATCTCCCAACAGCTGCAAGGGCGGACTCTGCAAGCCCAATGCACACAGCCGGAGCCTGGCTTTGATGTGCATCCTTTGTGCAGTATTGCAGAGCAGGGATTTCTGCACTCGGAGGCAGTTCAGGTGCCTTTAGACAGTCTTGTGGGGGCCATCCTGAAGAACAGAAGAAGGGGCTGCTGGATCAGGCCAATGGCCCATCTGATCCAGCATCCTGTTTTCACAGTGGCTGACCAGTTGCCTCTGGGAAACCAGAAAGCAGGATCCGAGCAAGAGAGCAGCCCTCTCCCCTCCTAGGCTTTCTGCATCCTTCTGCAACCTTCTGCAACCTTCTGCAACACGTTCCCAGAAGGTCTGTGTGCGAGTGATGCAGGCATGTGAGTAGGGCATCTGACGGGAGGGCGTTCCACAAGTCGGGTGCCACCACCAAGAAGGCCCTCTGCCTGGTTACCTGTAACCTCACTTTTCGCAGTGAGGGAACCACCAGAAGGCCCTCGGAGCAGGACCTCAGTGTCCAGGCTGAACGGTGGGGATGGAGACGCTCCTTCAGGTATACTGGACCAAGGCTGTTTAGGGCTTTAAAGGTCAGCACCAGCACTTTGAATTATGCTCAGGATATATGGTTTTATATACGACAGGCATGTCCAACTCCCAAGAGACTGTGATCTGCTGCCAGTATAAAAGACTGGCAGTGATCTACCCATTGTCATTGGAGGGAGCCGGAGCGTGCGTTGGGTGGGTGGGTTGCCCAGAGTTGCTGAGCTTTTGGGGGGGCAGATTGCACAGTTTTTTAGCCTTTTTCCTGCAACTTTTTGTACACGATAAGGATCCCGCGATCTACCAGGATCAGCCATGGATCTACCGGTAGATCACGATCCACTGGTTGGATGCCCCTGACATGAGCGTAATATGGAGAGACTCGGGGCATTGACATCCTAGGAGATCTTGCTGCTCCAGCACAGAGCAAGGAGGTCTGTGGGTCTCCAGCTTCCAGTGTCCTCCAGCTCAGCTTTCACACAACTCTGTGGCTCTTCTTCTCCTACCTAGCAGCAGGGTGATGGGGGTGGAGGCAAAGTGCCCTCATTAATGTGGAGAGCCCCATCCCTTAGTTGTGGCACCTGCAACCTGGCTCTTTCTCTTGGGATGCTGAAGAGGACACTTAAGTGGCCAGCCAAGGACATTGTCTTGACATGCTTGTCTGACTAGTTCAGCAATATAATCTTCAGTTAGTATCTTCTATTAGATCCTAACCCTTGCTGGGTCCAGGACCCCAGGAACTGGAAGGGACTCAGGGCATCATCCAGCCCTGACCCTGTTAACGGAGAAATCCGAGGGCTCCCTTGGACAAAAAACAAGGACACCAGCCAGGAATACCAGAGCAAAACAGCAGCCAGTAGGCGGCTTGGTCTTTGTTGAAGACTGTTGTGACAGGACTCCCACCTGCCACAAGGTGGAACGAGATGGGAGCCCCGGACAAAAGAGAACCCAAACTTTTATTAGCTGCTAATCCCCATGTTACCCCCCCCCAAAACGACATCACTCATACATCACGGTTACATCATGAAAGGGGAGGTCTGGTGGCAGTAATCTGAGCATCCTGGACCCTGCCCCACGGTTCTCCTTGCCCTCCACCAAACACCCATGGAGTGTAACAAAAGAGACATTTACATTTCCCTGTTTCCCAGCCAAGTTAATCACACCCTTTTGTCTTCATCTGGGTTTGTTATTTCTGGAATGGCTACCTGTCTGGCACTCAGGTACCAGGATGCCAGGAATTATCACTCAGGCAGAGGGGCTGCTGAGTAGCTGAGCTCACATGTCTATATGAATTTCTGAAGTTTTCCCTGTGAGCCAGTACATAGATGCATTGATCAGTGAATTCTTATATTTGGTATTGTGCAGCAAAGGCCCTTTGAGTAGATAGGAAGAAAGTGTGATGAAGTGTTTCGTGGGGACAAATCACAAAAGTCACAAAAGTGATTGTGCTGATTTTGGTAGTGGGCTGCATGTGCATGATATCTGATGGAGGGGCAACCCCCCCAACCTACACATAAATTCCTGCATCCCTAAACCCACCACATCCTGTCTGTATGCTTGTGCTATCCAGAGCAGGAGGGAGATGTGCTTGGCTGTCAGAGCCAGACGTGGAAGCCAGCGCTCCCTGCTGCGTGCAGGATTGGTGCGGCCAATCTTTCTGCATCTCCCCATCGCAGCAATGCACCGAAGATGATTTCCCCAACAATAAATGGCTTGTCTGTGTTATTTAGTCAAGAGCAATTGCCATCTTAATTGCATATTCTCAAGATAACACCTGTATTGAGTTACTGTAGTATTTATTTTAATTGGCTAATTGATTAATCATTTGAAAGGAGATAGCTAATTAGCTAAAGGGCCGTTAATGGGCTGACAGCTCTGATTTTTAATTGTTGGAGAAATGTTTAAAAAAAGGGAAGGAGAGGAAAGAACTACCCTCCCCCTTGAAATCTAAACCTCCCAATGTGTCAAAGTATTGTGATAAATCCAAGGCTTTGTTTCTGGCAGGAGACAGCCAGCCTGGCTTTCAAGGGGTTACCAAGTGACCCAAAAAGTATGCTGGTTTGAGGAGCGCAAAGGTCGACATGGAGAAAAGCGTTGCATCCTCCTCGCCGCCCTTGCACCTGTGCATCAACCGGCTGCGAAATGCAGAGCTCCAGACTCCTGAGAGTGACCTGCCTTGCTTGTGGCTCTTTGTCTCCCCCGCAGCGTTTTTCACAGAGACCCCCCACGACATGACCGCCCGGGCTGGTGAGGACGTGGAGATGGCCTGCTCCTTCCGTGGCAGCGGCTCCCCTTCGTATTCGCTCGAGATCCAGTGGTGGTACGTGCGCACTCACAAAGACTGGACGGACAAGCAGAACTGGGCCTCCAACCAGGTATGGCAGACCCACTCCTCCCACCCCCAGACCCGCCCTGCCTCCACCTCCACCTTTCCATTTTTCTGCAAAGAGCTCAATGCAGCTGCATCCCCATTGCAGACACCCTCTCTGCAAGACTCCACTCCGAGAAAAGACTCCTGGTCAGGAACAACCCCCCCCCCCCCCCGCAGAAGCCTCCTCTGGGGATCCTTTTGGTGCTATGAAGAGCAGGCCTAGAGAAGGGTCTAATATTCATTCATGCATGCATGCATGCATGCATGCATTCTGTGAGGAATGTGTGTGGTTGCTCACAAAGATAACAGCCAGGACTGTCTTTTACAGGTTTTATTGAGTGCAAAAACTATGTACAGTGCATGAGTCCAAAATCCATGTCTGCCTCAATCACTAGCAGATTCCGGAAGTGGTTTCTTCCGGTTCGCCCTCCAGCACAAAAGCTCAGGAAAAACCCCTCTCCGCCTCTTTTCCTTATGCTTAATTCCCTGGTGAAAACTCTGCGACGGAAGAGGCATTTCCAACTCCTTGGGAGTGGTGTTGTGGCTCATCTCAGCCTGAGTGCGCCTCTGCCTTCTTTGTCCGTTGCTCCTGAGGGCTCGTCTTCACCAGACGAGGTGAAGCTGCTCAACAAAGGGAGGCTCTCTGTACGTTCCTTCCTCTCTCTCCCCTCCCCGATGGCAGCCCCTGACACATTCATTTATTTATGCATTCATTTATTTATTACATTTATATCCCACTTTTTTCTCCGAGGAGCTCACAGTGGCATATAAGGTTCTGTCATTCCACTTTTAATCCCACAACAGCCCTGTGAGGTAGGATAAGCTGAGCGGCTATGACTGTCCACCCAGCGAGCCTCGGGGCCGAGTGGCGATTTGAACCCTCCAAAGGCCTAGTCCAACACTCTGACCCCCTGGACCACACCGGCTCTAATAGGGGTGTGCAAGATTTATTATTATTATTATTAATCGTTATTATCGCTATCTGCAGATTTTAATTTTCATTATGAAAGCTCAAATTCATTTTGTCTCTCGTTCGTTTAAACTGCATTCATTTCATTACTGGAATTGCTTCGTGCGCTGCTTTGTCGTCGATGTCTAGATGTGTCAAAATAATATTATAAACGCTGTCTGAAGCCCTAAAAATAAATCTGGCTACTTGGATATTCTGCCATCGCAAATCTTTCTGAGGGGGCGAGGGGCAAGCAGTGGCTGCACCCCCTCCAAATGTCGGCCCCTCTCCAACTCTATGATTCTGCAAAACCGTCTCTTCCAAAGGCGAAAGAGATCCCTTGCCCAGGGCAGAACAGGTTGCCCAGTGGCCTCCCTGCCTTCTGGCACCCGATACCATCAGGGGGTGTATCGGACACAGTTCTGCCACCACCACGTTCTCAGCTGCTCCTAGTTCTTCTCCTCCGCATCCTCCCTTCCATCTCCCGCTCCGCCTTTCTCTCCCCTGCTATCAGACTCAGCAAACATCTGTCTCTTTCTTTCCCTCTCGCTGCTCACACAGAGATAAGGGCCAAACAATGGTGAGGGCCTCTTGCCATGGGAATGGGGCTTGGTGATGATTTTGTGCTTGGGCAACTCAGCTGCTGCCTGCGCTCATCCCATCAGCCGATGGCCCTGAGGGGTGAGAGGAGGAAGGAGAGAGGAGGAGAGGAGCTCTCCAAGCTTGAGCCCCATTGCCCCAGAGTGACTTCGGGGTGCACACTAAGAACGTAGGGTTGCACCCCAGCCGAGCTGTGTGAGATTCCACAGGTTCCAGGCACATTTACCCAGTGTCTGTGTATCCTTTTGCAAATAAGGCACAGGAGAGACTGTGGTGTCTTTCGGCTAGATCGGTATTAGCACATTTGTACAACTTAAGCCTCTCCTGCAGTTCGAAAGCACCTCAAAGTGCAAGTAGATCAATAGGTACCACTCTGGTGGGAAGGTAAACGCCGTTTCCGTGCGCTGCTCTGGTTTGCCAGAAGCGGCTTAGTCCTGCTGGCCACATGACCCGGAAGCTGCACGCCGGCTCCCTCGGCCAATAAAGCGAGATGAGCGCCGCAACCCCAGAGTCGGACATGACTGGCGAACTAGAGCAGCGCACGGAAACGCCGTTTCCCTTCCCACCAGAGCGGTACCTATTGATCTACTTGCACTTTGAGGTGCTTTCGAACTGCTAGGTTGTGGCAGGAGCAGGGACCGAGCAACGGGAGCTCACCCTGTTGTGAGGATTCGAACCGCTGACCTTCTGATCGGCAAGTCCTAGGCTCTGTGGTTTAACCCACAGCGCCACCCGCGTCCCATGATGTGGATATAGTCATCTTCAAATATATGAAGAACTTTAAACCAGGAAGAGTTATTTGACAGTGAAACGGACTCCTTTGGAAGGTAGTGGACTCACCTTTGTTGAAAGTGTTTAAACAGAAGCTGGATGGCCATCTGTCAGGGATTCTCTAGCCGTGATCACTGCATTGGAGAAATGATTTTCTGAATGCTGATCTCTGTCTCTCTTTCCACACCCCACCCTCGTATGCCAGGGCCACCCGAGGGAGCCCCGCTCTGCCTGCCAACTTACGGAGTGCAATGCATTGATCGGTGCAGTTGTGCTCCTCCAGGCCGTGGGTGCAGAAAGCTTTTATTATCCCCCAGTTGACCGCATAAGGCTCATGCACATTGTTTCGTGCTTCAGTTATCAGAATATGTTCCGTTAGTTTTAATTCTCACCTTTTTTAAAATGCAATTTTAATCTACGGAGCATGCATAATGGAACCATCTCCTTCACACAGATACCCAGGAAGCCTCCTGCCAGAGCCAAGAACTAATTGGCTGAAGGTTTAATTTCCCTGTTCTTTCTCCCAAGGACCTGCAGGCCTGCAGGGCTGGAATGTGGGCGGTGGGGGCGGGCTTCTCCTGCAGACGATTCTCACTGCCCTCATCAAATGACAGTCCCCAGATTCTTTGAGAGAAGTTGCTGCAATGAAACCGGTTTTTTTTTTTAAAGGCAACCTGTTTTAAATGCAGAGAAGAGTCATAGAATTGTAGAGTTGGAAGGAAATCTCAACTAAAGCATCCATGACAAATTGCCCTCCAACCTCTGCTTAAAAACCTCCACAGAAGGAGAGTCCACCACATTCCGGGGAAAACTGTCCCACTGTCAAACAGCTCTTACTGCCAGAAAGTTTTGCCAGGTGTTTAGTCAGAATCTGCTTTCCTGCAACTTGAAGCCATTGGTTTGAGTCCTACCCTCCAGAGCAGGAGAAAACAAGGTTGTTCCCTCTTCCATGTCCATCGTTCTGCCTGGACACTGAGGTCCAGTGCCAAGGGTCTTCTGGCGGTTCCCTCGCTGCAAGAAGCCAAGTTACAGGGAACCAGGCAGAGGGCCTTCTGGGTGGTGGTGCCTGCCCTGTGGAACACCCTCCCACCAGATGTCAAAGAGAACTACCAGACTTTTAGAAGACATCTGAAGGCAGCCCTGTTTAGGGAAGCTTTTAATGTTTAACAGATCACTGTATTTTAATATTCTGTTGGAAGCCGCCCAGAGTGGCTAGGGAAACCCAGGTGGGGTATAAATAATAAATTATTATTATTATTATTATTATTATTATTATTATTATTATTATTTCATGTGGCAGCCCTTCGAATACTGAAAAATGGCTATCATGTCACCTCTTAGTCTTCTCTTCTCCAAGATAAACATGCCCAATTTTTAAAATGTACCCCATAAAAGGCTGCCTGGTCAGGTAAAAACTGCAGCAATCCCCAACTGCCTCAACCGTTCCTCACAAGGCTTGTTTTCCAGATCTTTGATCATCCTGATCCCCTTCCTCTGCACACCTCCCAGCTTGTCAATATCCTCCTTAAATTGAGGCCCCCACAACTGGGCACGGGACTCTAAGCAGAGTCTGACCGAGGCAGAATAGATTGGTGTCTGTACCAAATGCAGAGAGCTCATCTCACTGCTAAGGTTAGTCAAAGCAAAATAAAAAAATTCCTTCCAGTAGCACCTTAGAGACCAACTAAGTTTATTTTTGGTATAAGCTTTCATGTGCATGCACACTTTTTCAGATTCAGAGTGTACCTGAAGAGTTTTGCGTGCACACAGAAGCTCATAACAATAACAAACTGAGTTGGTCTCTAAGGTGCTACTGGAAGGAATTTTTTAATGTTGTTTTGACTACAGCAGACTGACACGGCTACCTACCTGCTAAGATTAGCTGCCTCCGTATGCACTGCATTGATGAAAGGTGAGATTCAGGGCACTTTTGTGTCTAGAAGCAGAGCAAATGCATGCAAAATAAGCAAGGATATAGGGATCTTAATGTGCAAATTTTATTCCATTTTTCTGGGCTATGAATCTGATTTCTCTGAGCACGGAGGGCTTGTACAGCCCTGCTAACAGAACATGCTATACCTACTTTTGCAAACTGGCTGGAGGGAAGGAGGAGGGCAGCTGGGCTATCCTGCCTCCTTTCAGTCCCAGGGACGAGGTGACAGGTGGGGGTCAAACTAGTGCATCAAAATACTTGCCTTGCAAATACATTTCCCCACGAAAGCAATCTCATCCCAAGACCACGTCTTCGTCTTGGTTTGCTCAATACCTTTATTGATTTTTAAAGTAAATGTTAAACAAGAGAACAAACACAGTTCCTTAAGAATATAAGGACCAGAAATGTCCACATATCATTTCATTTTAGCGAGTTCTAAATATTTGCCGTCGGGCGTCTTGCAGCTCTTCTTCCTTTTAAATTCCTTTATTTGAAAAATCAGAGATTTGAATGACCCTCAATCACACAATGCAAATCAATCCTTCCCATCAGTGGCTTCAGACATCTTTTTGTCCAGGCTTTTCCTGACCCAGAAGACCCGTTGCAGGGGGTTGGAATAGATGACCCCTGGGTATCCCTCCCAGTTCTACAATTCCATGATTTGACCCTGTTTCATATGTTTGAATGCCGTGATTTTTTGTTTTATTTGCTTTTATGCGCTTTTTATACTTGTGGCCTATTGATTTTAGGCTGCATATTTGTTCTAATGGATGTTTTTACACTCTAGATAGTGTATGCTGCTTAGAGTTTTATTTTTTAAACAAACAAACAAACAAGCCATTGAGCTGTTAAATAATTAAAATGAATGCCCCCCTCTTGACCCAATATGTGGCTGTGGAATCAGCCTACCAGACCTTGCCACCCTATCCACTGGACATGACTGCCCAACAATGCAGAACGTTGGAAGATTCACGACAGGCAAAAGCACAGTGTTAAACTGTGGAACTCCCTGCCACAGGAGGAAGCGACAACCCCCAACCTGGATGGCTTTTAAGAGAGGATTAGACAGATTCATGGAGAAGGAGAGGGCTATTGATAGCTACAAGTCAGGATGGCTCTGCTTTGTCTCCACAGTTGTAGGCAGCAGCGCTTCTGATTCCTAGTTGCTGGAAACCCCAGGAGAGGAGAGATGTGCTAGTGCTCAAGTCCTGCTTGCTGGTTTCCCATTGAGGCATCTGGTCAGCCACTGTGAGCACAGGATGCTGGATTCAATGGACCACTGGCCTCATCCAGCAGCCTCTTCGTGTTGATATCTATGATATGTGTTGGGCTGTGCAATATTAAGTTTGTTGTGTTGTTGTTTTTGTATATAAGTTTTATTAATATTCTGTTTTACAATTTAAAATACTCATTTTACATCCTTAAAATATCAATGACTTCCATTCTTCTGTTTCCATTTTTTGGGGAATATTATAAATCCCTGCATTTTTAACAAAAACTAAACCATTCAGTGGGACACGGGTGGTGCTGTGGGTTAAACCACAGAGCCTAGGGCTTGCCGATCGGGAGGTCGGCAGTTCGAATCCCTGCGATGGGGTGAGCTCCCATTGCTCAGTCCCTGCTTCTGCCAACCTAGCAGTTCAAAAGCACCTCAAAGTGCAAGTAGATAAATAGGTACCACTCCGGCGGGAAGGTAAACAGCGTTTCTGTGCGCTGCTCTGGTTCGCCAGAAGAGACTTAGTCATGCTGGCCACATGACCCAGAAAAATAGTCTGCGGACAAACACCGGCTCCCTCGGCCTATAGAGCAAGATGAGCGCGCAACCCCAGAGTCGTCCGTGACTGGACCTAATGGTCAGGGGTCCCTTTACCTTTAAACCATTCAGTATTCCATCATTGCAT